ATCCACATAGTTTAGTTCGAAAATGTATTATTTTTGAAATAGGAATAACACATCTGCTATAAACACAATAACTCAATTTATACACATRATTTGGAACGAGCTGTTAGATCGGTGTAGCGACTTGGCCATCTGTACCCAAGCGGATATACATTCACTTAATCATTTCGCTCCTTTTCACGCACGTTCAAATCCATTTTTGTTAAATTTRTTATCCCTTTACCCTTCGCACACGCGTTGCCGTAATGCATCACTTATCTGACACAGTTTATCTCTTAAGAGTTACATTTAACTCTTCCCATAACCCTTTTGTTGAGTTTGGTTGGCAAAACTTGAAACCCATATTTAATAAATTGAAATTGATGACTTTTGCAGTTTCTTAAAATGTCTTGCTTAATACTCTCGGGTGATAAAATACTCCTACGTACRTTGCAGTAAATATTAACGTGTTTTATTTGTTTTATAAAAAAATTCCTTCCAAAATAAAGTTCATACGACTGAACGCAATCTTAATTGAAGTATATAAGAGTACATCGTTCTGAAGTTATGTAAGATTATATACATAYATATATAAGCGARTATTATAATATAATCTGCGTAGATATAGATAAACGAAGGGCTTGAATCAGAAGCTCAACTGACAGAGTAGCGCCGTGCCTCGCTCGATCCAATGTGATGGATTGGTGTTTGGATTGCATTCCAGCAGCATGGCAACGACAAAATTAGTGCTATGYCCAGTAGTAGAGAGTACGCCGCGACGTTCAGCAGTTTTATACAGAGGGCAAAGGTAGACGTGACTCTCTTTGAGATCGCTACGCTTAACTGGTTTCATCCAAATCAATGGCATGCGATCAAATAATTCGCGAGGCCTTGATTCTGCTAGCCAATTACCACCACGATCCCAGCAAGCACCTTCTAGGAAGACACCATATACAAACACACCATCGGCCGGCGGTGTTATGCCTTTTGTTTCATCCTCCTCTAAGCGCAGCACCTCATAGTCGAATACCAACAAATCGATTGGTATAATATAYTTACGAGCGAAATTCTGCTGAGCACCAGTGAGAAAAGCCTGGGTGAAGAAGAAGCCAGAGAGCCAAAATGTTGACGGTGGACCATCATCGAACCATTTCTAAAAAGTTAAATAATTTTGTAATTTTTTCTGTGTTGCATAATAAATATAATATTTTCATTTTATTAATTTGACATTTAGAATTTAAGCTTTAAATACAGTTGGCATTCCTAATAAAAACATGAATTTGGGTTTAACGATTTTTAATTCCAACTTCAGTGATCTCAGATTTTGTAGTACAATTCAGATACCTCCAATCATAGCAACGATTACCTCGAACGGTTTGCCAAATTCTCTAACGTGTTTAATATACAACGGAGATCTCATCGCAAAGGGTCTGGAACTCCAGCAAAAACTTCAAACTTCAAAAATTAACCGTATTATTCTCGGAGGAAACCCGGTTCATTTATAGGAGAAAGCAGACCCCGTTTATTTCTACTGCTAATGCGTCTCCACAATTCGGACGAATGTTTTTAAATTTTGCGGTTTTTTGTAATAAGAAAAATGGTCTTCAAAAAGAGCACAAGTGGAAAGGGTTGGGTTAGGTTAGGTAAGATGGCTGATCGAAGATCACACGTGGCCTGGTATAAGTAGTCCTTTGTGAAAACATAAAAAAGAAGAACTCCTGTGCTCAGACTTATAAATTAGCAAACGCTTAGTAACCAATACAAATTTTCAAGCTTCCACGAAGTCCAGCTACTAGTAGTATAACACAAGAGAATGCGGGAGCACCCACTTGCTCTATCGATTGCGATTCTAGGGTGCCTTTCATTGCTGGCTCATCAACTTTACAATTTCCTGCGATTCCGCTATGGCCCGGCTCATACTCATACCAGTTTTACCAACCCTGAACGCACTGTAAATAAGTTCAAGGCTAGTATCGCCACTCTGCTATCTGACTGAGTGGTCATTTCTCTAAAGGAGGTTGTACTCCAGAGCAGCACATCTACTGCTACCTTAATGGCTGCAACCTCGSGTTGGAATACTACTGTGACCAAGTTTTAATTTATACTTCGCATGTTTTTCGAATCGGTAAATTTTGTAGTTAGTAACATCTATGCTAAATTCCATGTCAAAATATTTATTAGTATTTGAGATATGCGTCGTTTTGTGAGGCTTTCGATATTTACTATGKCTGAATTTACTGAACAAAGAAGTGTCATAATACATCATCTCATACTGCATTGATTATTCGTGATCTTTTCGCCACATTTTTAACTAAAATCGTGCCGCTTTCGCCTGATTTACCTTCTTGTAACTTCTGGCTATTCAACAAACTCACATGACCACTTCGAGAACACCGTTTTGACTCAATTGAGGATATAAAAGCTGAATCGAAGAAGGCTCTGATGAAAATCACGACGGAAGATTTTTCCAAGTGCTTTGATGGCATAAGTGCATTGCAGCGCAATATTATTTTGAAGGAGACAAAATTCACCYTTCAATCTGATCACAATAGTRCACTGCAATARTCAGGAAGTCTGAAGCTGGAGTTCATATAGAGAGCTCCTCTTCCCCCAAGCACTGACCCACTACGCAGCCATATACCTTMCGGCGTTGTCTACGGCTACTATGTTCAAAATACTGTTAAAAGTATGTTTAAAATGTAAAGACATAACACGGACAGAATCTGACAATTCTTATAATGTTTAACCTATTTTAGTATTTTTTAAGCAACAGAAGACGAAAATATTTAATCAATTACCTATTTTACTAAACCCTTAAATATACATACATAAGTACAGTACTCCACGCCTAACGCCAAACATAAATTAACGAATACTGCTTTTAATTATAACAATTAATCTCGCACAATTGACTAACATCGAAAATGAGATTATTAAGAGAGGTGGGCAGAAAAAAATTTTAGAGCAAACTCACAAGGCCTCAACCTAAGTCGATGCTACTACAGTTAAGGTCGATTCTTTTGGTCTCTTCAGAAAATTGTTAACTTTCCCGCGCGATACTTAATCGACTACTTTATCATGGCAACATCAACAAATCGGATAATTAAAGTAGGTTTTAAAAAGGCAATATGAAATTTGACCTAAGCTAAGAAAATTAGCTTAGTCCTTTTAAACGGGAAACACTGTATTTTATATGAACTCACATCAAACGTTTACAATAACATTGCTTGGCAACGCAAACTAGTTAGCTGTGTTCGCCCAGGAATTCTTACCTGCAAAAAGCTCAAACGTTGCAGAAAATCATTAATGTAGCTTCCTAGTGGTTTTAAGCTTGGATACGACTTGCCAGCCCACATCGCTGGTATTTTGCTTATCAGTACGCTACGATAAACAGCCTCCATGGCAGCAGACATCACAACGAGACCTGTGGCAAAACAAAAATTGAAAATGCACTTTATAGAACGCATGAAATAAGGAAAGATCGAAGAAGTAGTAAACAAATTTGCGTATATTTGTGATAGCAAATAAATGTGAGAATATTGTAGGTACTTTGGGCGCAAAAGCGTCGACTCAAGTAAATAAATAAAAATCGGTTATAGCACGARTGCGTGTAAGATACAAATTATCGATTTATATACATGGAGTTCACTAGTTTTCGAATTTCTAATTTGACATTAACAAAGAATATTTTTATAAATTTTTCAGGAATCAAAAATAAACTATAAATAAAATCAGCCAAACTATGGCGCAACCCAACCATCAAAAGCTTGCGAAACGCATGTTTAAAAGCGKTAACGACGCGGAATGCTCGACAGCTGATGAAAAAAGCGATCTGAAGACGTTTAAGAAYGCACGGAATAAAGCTAACACCGCTAAGATGTATGCAAGACACGAGTACTCGAAAGAACCTGGTCTGGAGAACTACGCATTCCGCAAGGAGTTAACAGTTAAACCGAGCGACTACGACCGTAGCTCGCTAATATCTGGTTCAACCGATTCACTAAGTTATTCCTACAATCGCATTTCAACGCGCTTGCGGGGAGGTATTTTGTTGTTATCATTTTGTTTAGTAATTATTTTTGCTTAAACTGTTTCCCTTAGGCGTCAACAACCCGGCCGAACGGCGTGTGACGAATATTGTWACTGCACCCAGCGAATGTAAATCCAAAGCACTGGGTTTGAATCACTTTACACCAGACACAAAAGTCAATGTTCTCGAAATGAAGTTGAATCTTTCTACCGAAGTAGAGAATAGTCCTGCTCAAAAGTATGCTTATTGCAAATATTTTGAAGAGATTAAGGAGAAAAAGGTCAAAACTCGAGGAACGCAATCATTATATCGGTAAGCACATGTATTTGAGTTCATAACTTTACATTATGAAGAGTTATTGTCTCACTTTCTCTCCAGTGAATCGTCCGCTCAAACTTTGCCCTATCTTCCTGAAGTTTCGAATAACGAGCATGATTTAGAGCAAATAGAGCTTTTCAAATTACCCACCATTTTGCCTGGTGATGGCCCTCCCGGTTTATATCAAGTCGAAGTACTTGAACGAGCGCGTAAGCGTTGGGCTTTCGCGCGAGCACTGAAAGAAAATCTGAGACGTCAAATTGAGGAAGTAAAGCAACAAGCCAAACTGTCGGGCGATAGTGTTGTRTTACAGGCTTTCGAATGGGAACATTGGATAGAGCGCGAAGAGTATATACAAGAATGCCAGATGTTACGACTCGAAATACTCATTGGCATGTTCAATAAACGAGAAGAGAAAATGCATGCCACCTCAAAAAAACGCATTGAGTGCAGCTATGAAGAAATACTCGCACGCCGTGATGCTTCGTTGCACAAGAATCAGGTGGAATATGAAAGAGGGATTCGACAACTGGAGATCAAACGACGCCGTGTACCAAAGTGTTGGCGCAAAGAGAATATTGTTAGCCAGCTCGGTAGTCCGAGCTCGGAGTTTTATGGACCACAGTTGCGCTACGGCGTCAACCCGGCACGMAGACACTTTCTTGGTGGTCGTAAGGAATTTGAAGCGCGTATGGATGATTTAGAAAAGCGTGCGGTTAAATTTACAAAGCTGATATGTCCGTTTGCAAAGCTTAAAGAATGGGCTAAACCCAAGCAACGGCTTTTGGAAATCGAGCAGAATTTCTGCTCGGATGAGAATCTCCAGAAAATGTATGAAACCCTAACGGTAAGTAAAAAGTATTATTATTTACGGAGTAACGTTTTTTAAAATTTACGATCTTTTAGAGTTTACGTAAAAAAGCTGTAAAGCAAAAGATCATACCAAAATGTCTTATCCAGAAGACCAAGCCGGTTTTAATAAATAAAGTTGTATCCAAATCAGAGTACAGTATGGAAACCAAAGTCGAAGAAGACGTTGAAGTTCACGAGAACCCAGAAAAGAAAGCTAGCGAAGGTGAGCTTAAACGCATTGAAGACCGGAAATTCCGACAATCTGTAGAAGATAAAAAGCAACGAGCACAATATCTTTTGCAGGAACTTTATAATGAGGAAGTCGAAGGCATGGTTCAAGAGTATGAAGGTTGCACAATAGGGTGGATTATGCGTTTCTTGTCAGAAGAAATGAGTCGCTTGCAAGAGCAACGCCTACTACATTATATCACAATGTTAGCACAAAAGGAGCGTTGGCGRCGTGAAGCGGCCGAAGCTGGGCTGCGACAGAAAGAAAATAATATGCGTAAAATATACGAAGAAGTCTACAAGGAAACCATGGATGTTTGTCTTATTGGCCGCAAATATCTGAATACGATTTTAGATACAGATATACCGAATATTGCCCATCATAAAGCAGAAGATGAAGTATTAGATATGGCACGAACCATCGACATAGACATACAACGCTGGTTAGATTCACTGCATGACATACAAAACCCACTAAATTATAATTCGCTACGCTATAAACTCAAGAAGATAATGTTTCCTGATTTGAATGAAATCTTGAAGCAAATAGAAATTAAACAGATGTTACATAATATTATCGAAGAAGTGCTTTTCGATAAAGTTTTCACAGCTTTGGAACCTTACGATATATGTACATTCTTGGTGAGAGAACTGGTCGATCGTCTCATCGATCTCGATTTGTACTAYTTTAGTTCAGAAGAAACTTCAAATTGTTCCTGTCTAGCTTGCGAATGTGGAGAGAATGAACGTGAAATAAGAGCTCTCTTACGAAAATTGATACGAGGTGCTGTGCCTGGTCGGCGGTGGAAAACACCACTCGAACGCACAGTCAAAGAATTGCTAGTTGATTTGATCAAAGACGTGGTTGAAGTCACCAATACCAGAGGATCAATATTCGAAAGTGATAGCTGGACTCGGTTTTGTAAATTACAGTTATCTCCTTCGCATATGGATTTGCGTCATCCCTCCACCCACGCCCTAAAAGCTCCTTCATCCACGACTTCTTCGTCAACTTCTATTAACTTTTTAACTGATGTGCATGTACATGCAGAACATGAACGATTTTGGGCGGAAAGTGAATTTTCATCTTTAGCTAAAAACAGGGAGGACATATCCACTGTCTTTCAGTATATGCCGGAATCCGTAAGTAGCTTGAATATATAGTAAGATTCATATATTATTGATGTTTAATGATACTCATTTACACATCTCATTTTAGTTTTACTATGATCCAGCGGAGACTGCCGACACGGAACCAGACACATTACCAGCAAAATTCTTAACTGAAATCTACAAAGAACTTTTACATTTCATTGGACCTGAGGATGAAAGCGATGATATGGAGCAAGCTGAAGATAGACAGAGTACCAGCAGAAGCAGCCAAAGTCGTAAAAGCAGTGCTGGTGGCTTGCGAAGTATAATGGATGAAGTATTTAGAAAAATATCAATACTTGAAAACGAAAGTGAAGCTATTGAGACTGTTGAACGTTCCATATCTTCAGAAGTATCCATGCGTGCACCTGTTAAAATAGAGGAGGATGAAATCGCTGATATCTATCAAAAATCACTACCACTTGAGCTAATCACTGATCAATCAAGTGAACGATTTTCTTTCCAATCTTCTGGTGAGAGTATTGAAGAACCGTCATTGCATGAGTTCGAGTTCACCACGAGTAAAKCAGTAAAGGTCGCTTCAAAAACACCATCAATAGATGAGTTGCCGGAATTAGTAGYACAACCAGAGGAAGCAATGAAATCAGAAGAAGAAGCGCACTCAGAAAAGCATTCCGGGCGAGGCAGTGATATAAGCAAGAAATCCTCTCTACGTAGTCAACGTGAAAGTGGTAATGTCCCGTCACGTGTACGGATCAGTGAGAAGTCGGTAATAGCTGAGTTTAAAAAATCGCCCTCGCAAATAAGTGTTGAAAAACCGGCAGGAACGCGTGAGTCTGCTCATGTCCGTATCAGTCAGCAAATCTTTCAAGCCGAAGACAAGTCAGASGCTGACGAACAGCGCAGTTAATCAATTATTACATTCGTATTTGTTATATATTTTTTACAGATATAAAACGATTTTTGTGAATATTCTCTACAAATAAAAATATATTTTCAATTATTTCCTTAACATCTACTTGTTTCTTTTAGAAAAAGTGCCTGTCAGTGATACCGTAAGATACTTTTTGTACTCTCTCGGTRTTACTTTACCATGTGTAAATCCAGCACCAATTAAGATATCCGAATATAATATTACGACTTGTTAGTGAGATTGTGACAATGAGTGAAATCGGACCACAACYACGCCTGCCTCCCACATTACACAATTTTGAATTTCATAAATTCACTTCACAGTACAAATTAAGTACCAATGAAAATGCCCGGATGAAACATTGCAGTTAACTTCTCAAGCCCGCAGACACCGAAAAAGTGTATCCCTGTGCCTACAGTTGGCTTTTCGCGAATATGTCAGCCAATSTRTGAGTACTRCTGACATTTGGAGCGAATATTTTTSTGATAACATTGTAAATAGTATTAGAAATGTAGTAATGTCGGATCAATAGTTCCACCAACCCAAATATTCCGAAACGAAACAAACAGATCAGGCAATACCTTATTAAAAATATCACAGTTTCGGTACCTGAAACMTGAAAATATTTCCTCGACTCTTATCCTTTCGAGATTAGATCTTATAATTGTATTAAGCCCCATCTTGGTTCTTCCTCACTTGTTTCAAGTTATAAAGTTTTGGAAGATATTTTGCCAGCTTTGAGCCTTGCACATTGTGAGAGTATAAAAAGTCAGATTACACCCGAATCTTAGACCTTCCTTACTCTTTATTTTTCAGTTTGTTCCCTCCTTTGACAATACAGGTATTTAAATGTTAAAAGATCGTAACTTACCCTTTATTCCTTTGCGCAATGTTATCAAACTGGTACGAATAGTGCCGAGTAAAACATTGAAACGTGTCATCTCCTGCACAAGTACCGTATTCATACTCTGATGGTAGCTTGTTGGATAGCGAGATATGGCTGCGTCGCGATCAAAGTCTTTTGGTAATTTATTTARTATGTCTGTGGCAACATTCGTTACCACTTCTTCTGGCGTTAAAGCTTTCYTGCCTTCACCTTCATCGCCAGCTGACGAGGCACTTGTGTCCTTAATAAAAAAAGGGGGGATATAAGGATCGGTTGGGACAGTGGGTAGGAAAAGGTTCTCAGGGTAACGTTTGGACAAGGTTTCAACAAAKAAACTATGCGACTTTTCTAACATCTATATTAAAGAGAGCAACAATTTTAATTTTGATTTTCAAAGCTAAGGTGACTACCCGAAATAGTATACTTACACGACGCTGATAAAAATCCTGTTATATAACAGTTATAGGCTTAGTACAAAGTCACGAAAATATAACAAATAGAAATTAATGAACTTACCAAACGMTCCTGGGAAGGCATTTAGTTTCAATAAAAATGCAGTTTTTGAAAAATTCGAAACATCAAAATATACATAAACTTACTAATATACAAAAACGATAAACTAATACAATATTCCCTGATCTAATTCGTTATAGACTCACCTGGGTCAACAGCGTATGACTCAATAGCATATCCGTCTCATGTTGGTCCTTCATTATGTCGGCGTTTGCATGGAACCCGAATATACCGGGTGCGGTTTGTATAGGTAACTCTCGCGTATAATTCAAATACAGTTCTAACTCCTTAAAAACTGGTATACAATATATCTTTTCATCGTCGAAGTAATGACGATTTTCTAGATCCAATACTTTAGGACTATAATAGATATTCAATATGGTTTTCAAAGTTCTTCTGTCCCAATCATCGGTGACACGTCCACCGTAATTGCATTCGCCGGTCAAATATCGCAAAGCGTCGTAATTCACACCCTCATATTGATCCAGAAACATTTTCAACTGCATTAAGCTTATACGCAAATCGGTCTCGTTGAATTCATAAGGAATATTCCAGCCGATAGGACCAAAGTAGCGTCGCTCTTGTATGACAGCGTGGAAGAAGCACAACGAATATATCAATTGTTTGAAGGTCTGTGTCTGTTTACATGACTCGAACCACTCTGGATCACTAATGGGATCGCTTAAGAGCGAACGCGTTATATTCGAACGTAAGCCTTTTGGCGGCTCGTTTGTCATTTTAATGCCGTTTTGTAGCACAACAACTGGGAAATGATCGGCTGGGTATGAAGTGAGCCAGAGACGAAAGTCTGGATGTGTAGCATCAGGCACCAAATTTTCGCACACTTTTTCCAGTGTTGGCATAAAACTCTTGGCCAAGTGACAATTCTGTAGCACTACCCAATTGCCGAGTTTAATGCCGTCGTCTATCATTTTTGTCGCAATAGGCCCCTGTCCCTGTCCAAGGGAGAGCGAAAACAAGCGATTTGTACCAAATCCTTGTTCGTCAGCGAACTTCAAAAGCGTCGCTGTGGGGTCCGAGCCAGGAGTTAAGATGAAAATAAGTGGTATGCAACAATGAGAATCCGAAAAAGAGGCCATCAGATCAAATTGCGGTGGATCGACGAATTCAAGGCCCAATTGTTCTGAAATAAAGAGAGAGATTTCACATAAATAAATTATTTAGTATTTTTCTTTTTTTGGTTGCATAAATTAAATTTTTGTGTTTGTGTTCAGATAAATATCTAAAAATAATCAATTTTAACACTATTTACCAATTTTAAATTGTACAGCTGACACAGACAGAGCATACTAAAGTTATGGAGGGAACACTTCTCCAGCTAGCTAAAAGCATAACACCAGGAGATGGTGAAACCGATTCTCTAATCGATGACGATGGAGCAGACTTCCATTGCTCGACCATGAAGAATTTCTAATAGCTATTACCCGTCTGAAGAACAACAAACCGACGGCGGCCGATGGATTGCCGGTCCAKCTATTCAAATACGGCGGCGAAGAAGCATGCATCAGCTTCTTTATAGAATATGGTCGGACGAAAGCATATCCGACGATTAGAATTTAAGTGTGCTCTACCCAATCCACAAAGAGGCAAACCTCACAATCCGCGCCAACTACCGTGGTATAAGCCTCCTCGAGGCTATCGAGCGTATTGTGTGAAAGATTACAGCCCACCGTCAACGAACTGATTGGATCTTATCAGTGTAGCTTTTGGCCTGGAAAATCAACAACTGATTACATCTTAGCCATGCAGCAAATTTCGAAACAGACCCAAGAAAAGAGAATCGACACGCATCATTTATTCGTTGACTTCAAAGCTACTTATGATAGCACGAAAAGGTGCTGCCCTTATGCCACTATATCTGAACTTCGTATCCCCGCAAAACTAATGCGCCTGTGTAAACTGATACCAAAAACTCTGTTAGGATCGGGAAATACCTCTCCAAGCTGTTCGATAACAAATGAGGCTTAGGACGAGATCATTTGACAATTCCCTTTCGCCGACTTCATTAATCTACTCTTAGAGAAAATACAATAATTCAAGCTGCAGAACTAAAAAGTGATGGAACCATCTTCTATAARAGTGTAGAGCTGCTGGCGTACGGCAATGAAATTGAAACACCGTTAGTTCTGCTTTCTCCAGGWTGGRTARGCGAAAYATCTCAACTGTATGAGATATACGAAGGCATTGACATAGTTGGACGAAAACACTCCAGCTCTGAAAGTATTCGACGCAGTACCCGCCGGAGGAAGTAGAGGAAGAGGAAGACCTCCACTCCGTTGGAGAGATCAGGTGGAGAAAGACCTGGCTAAATTTAGAATCTACAATTGGCGCCAAGACGCGTGCTGTTGTAAACTTGGCTATAACCGCGTAGGCGGTATCTATTCCATGAAATAAGAAGAAATTCTGTCCAATTATATAGTCAGTTGTGGACTTTACGGACATCAAATTAATTTCATAAATATGTTGGTATTAGTAAGTTCCAAGCATATTTAACTATACTTATACGTTATTCTTTAAACAGTTGTATTTTATATTCTCATAACTTACCACCAACAAATTTCATTACTGCTGGAACCAATTTATCCGAGCGGAAGACGCGTAATAACAGTAACTTCTGGAATAATGTCAATTTAGTCGCCCATGGCTGTGGTATTGCAGCATTGTCTTGTGGCGTTTTCGAGTCAAAGAATAATTTCCAATCACTTAAATTGCTAGTGACATGTTCACGTAATCCCTTGAAATTGGGTAATTCCGAGAGACGGCAAATTTCATTCCAACTATTAACGCCTAACCAGCGGGCGGGGTTTGCATGGGGATTATCCAAACCAATTCCACCAGTCAGCAGGAACATCCATTCGGCATTGTCAATCAAGTTTTCAGCTTTCATAAGGTTTATGTTCAAAATCAATGAAAACAGCAACTTATCCTGAAATAAATTGAAACGAAAGAGACGCAGGAAATAAAAAGAGTGAAGAGTATATGGTATATGGTATATACAACGGAAGTTAATAAGTGTACATGTCTCGTTTAAAATATATGGAAGTACTTAGGATATTAAATATTGATTAAGTTCACAAGATGTACATATGAAACAATAACCCAATACTGAAGTAAATACCGAGCTGAATACGTATATATGTACATATGTATGTACACGCATATAAGATTAGAGTTAATTCAATTGTCAAATTGCACCATAAAGACACATATATGGGTATATACATATAATATAAATATATATTTGTTTCCATACATATTTACCACCTTAAACTGGCGGCTACTGTTTACACACAATCTGATACTAATGATATCAATACAAACATATCCCCCGCCATTGACCGAGATAATGGATTGTAATGGCACAGCAAAGACCGATGTAGCACGAGTCGATAAAGAGCAGAAAATTAATGAGATACATTTAACCAAAAAAAATATAAGTAAATAAGGAAAACGACCAACCACGGAGTGAATAAGTAGAATAATGTACACTATAGGGAATATCTGTACACAATATTTAACATTTATTTTTCATCGCACACGCTTTCTCGGACTATATATATTAAAAAGTATGGAGTTAGTCCAAACACAGATCGAGCCATATACCATAGAATTCGCAGTAATTTATAAATTATGTAACCAAAAAAAAGATTTATTTTATTTGAAAAATTAAACAAACGGATTTGGGAAACATCAACTTAGCTGTCAAAGCAACAGTGTGAAAAGAAAACAAAGGTGGTTTTTATTAAAAATGTGTACAATTTGGGCGTGTGTAATATTAGCTTATGAAAACCGATCATAAAATATGAGGGTTGCCTTTATATTTCGAGATTAGAGAACATAAACAAATATTAATTATTGGCTAAACGAGAAAAGCCTCCTCCTAGAGCCGCCACAGCAACCCAGCTCTACACAAAGTCACAACACTGTCACACTTCAATTCACCACACCAACCACTCAAGAGATTATTATTATTCAGAAAATTCTACTTCAAGATCTATAGACACGGGAATAAAAGTAAGTCATTCGGTGCCAAGTCAGGACTTTACAAGAGTTGTTCTGGTTAGGACATGTCCAATGCTTCGTGTGCAAACAATTTTTCTTTAATTCTGCTTATCTAGAAACACTCATATAGTCGTCTGCTGTTTACTTTCGGTCTTATGCGCATAAATCCAAGATTCATCATCCGTGTCCATGTCATAGACGTATTTCAAAGCTCCACTATGGTATTTTTTGCATTTCCCCCAACATATCGGCAAAAAGTCACTTTTTAAGCGATTAACAAATTGTATGAGATCCAACGTGAACAAAATTTTTTACAGTCAAATATTCAACAATATTGAAAGCAGGCTGATCTCACCAATCTCATGATAGGTCACATGACGATCTAGCAATATTAGTTTGCGCACAGTTACGCCCTTCACGAAATCGCTCTTGGTGTAATCTGCTTTAACGCAAAATTAAATTAAGTTCACCGATGCTGTGTTGCTTAGTTAATCCATGTCGAAAGTCGAATTTTCTGCCGAGATGAATATTTTAAGTTACTGTAACACAATTAGCTCACGCAAGTCAAAAGGTTCTGAGTACGTCAGAAATCAAAACATCAATCTTTTCTATATATGAGTTGCAAGGGCTAACGCAATACCATAATTGCTTGTCGAATCAGTACGAATTAATTTGAAACAGTTAAGGGCTAATGAATTTCTCTTCAGGGTAATTTGTGAACAATTGAACACATGCGTTTCTGTTGGTTCGCCTTGGCAATATGGAAGTAAAAGAAGATATATAGAGCGATTCGTTGATAGGCTTGTTATAATGAAACAAACCTTGGAGAATATGTAGTATTTAGTGCATATTATTTTAGTACGGGCTTTTAGTTAATAGGATTATGTACAGGTAAACTTCCTACAATGCGGTGAATAGGTTCCCGAAAAACACCGCGTTATAGGAAATCGCATTATAGGAGACACTAACTCCATACAAAAGTCAGATTTTGGTTCCAAAGTAAAAAAAAAAATTTTTTTAATACAATATTGGAATTTGTATAGTAAAAATATGTGCTTAATATATTTTTGTGTATTTATTTGTTGAGTCATAAGAACATACATATTATGTAATTTAATAACATTCCATTTACTTAAACAAAAACAAAAACAAAACAAAATAAAATAAAATTTCAATTMTACGTAAAATATTCAAGTTTAAAGATTTAATAAATTAAAGCCAAAATAGAACGATAACTTTCTACTCCCTCTCATCACTTAGTGTGATTTGTTTCGAATGTTTTGTTCGTTTCGGGCATTCTCTCGACGATTATTGGCTTGAAAAAATCGTGCATTGAAGTTTGTTTGCTCTTATTTCATTTCGCAAATCTTTATAAATTTCTTGATACGAAGCTAAATTGTTTTGAAGATTTCGTTTCAATACTTCTGCTCTGTCACTTAAAGGGTCGTTCTCCAAAATGTATTCCTCCAACTGCTTTGCCATATTTAAAACTTTCTCGATATTTTTTAGTGAAAAGTTTTTATTTTCAATATCGGAAAGATCGCCAGAACTACTCCAATTGATTCTTCATTTGTCATTGTCACTAAATCTGCTTCGTTTATTTCGTCGTCCGCAATTAATTCTCGAATATCAGCCATTGTTATTTTATCAAATCCATCACCTTCTATCATCTTCTATTGGTGTAGAAACAGTTCCCTGAACGTCTATTTCCGGTATTAGGGCTTTCCAACAAGCTTTTAATGTTGAAGGACGAATTTCTTTAAGTGACGTATATACAATTTCAACGGAATTTAAAATTGTAAATTGTTGCCAGACTTCTTTAACTGTAATATTTGCTGACTCCATCTTCTCTAATATTAAATAATAAGAATTTCCGAATGTAGTAAGCTTTTAATGCTTCTATTATGCCCTGATCTAAAGGCTGTAATAACGATGTGGTGTTGGGCGGTAAAAATTCGATTTGAACATCAGGAAATCAGTCGAATGGGATGGCGCACTATCTAAAAGTAGTAAAACTTTTAATGCTAAGTTCTTTTTTTTAGATAATTTTCTACGTCTGGAACAAAGCAATGATAAAACCAATCATTAAATAAACTGGCAGTCATCCATGATTTTTTGTTGGCTCTTCAATAAACTGGAAGGTTGTTTTTGTTGCATTGTTTCATACATCTTGGGTTTAATGATCGGTTAATAAACATTGGCTTGGTCATAAAATCACCAGACGCAATAATGTTATTCGATCTTTCGAAACTTTAAAGCCAGGAGCGTTTTTCAAAATAAAAGTTCTTGAAGGCATTTTTTTCACCACAAGCCTGTATCATCTGCGTTGAACACTTGTTCAGGTAAATAACCATTTTCTTTTATAATTTTATCGAACAATGCTGGATATTTTTCTGCTGCATCTGCGTCTGTGGATGCACTTTCTCCGTGTATTTTTGAATTGTGAAGTGCATTCCTTTTTTTGAGTTTTCCAAACCATCCATTACTAGTTACGAATTGATGATTGTCTTCATCGATTGACGATTGTCCTGTTTCCTTTAAACAATTAAATATTTTTAGTGATTTATGCTTAATCACATTCCCATCTAAGGGTATTCGTTTTTTTGTTATGTCTTCTATCCACACCATAAGCGATAGCTAAGTTTTCTCCATTATCTGCGGTCTAGGACGAGCAGTTTCGCGACTACACAGGACCCAGATGCTACCGAACTTCTAATTTTTTCTTCGTTTTGTTTGATAGTTCTTATTGTTTACTCATTTAAGTTAAAATGTCTAGCAATATCACTTATACTCTCTTGATTTTGAAGTCGATCCAAAATTTTTATTTTTAATTCAATGGATAAAAATTTACGTGTTAACGGCGTTTTTTTTCATTCGGCATTTTTGTGGCTACATTTAAAAATTTATTTGCATTTAAATAAAGTTTCATACATATAAATAAAATTTAAAAGAAACTTACTTATTCACCTTAAAATAATTTTATCAAAACTCTTTTACGAAAAAAACAACTGTTTCACAATTTTTTTATAATTTAACTGGAATCAACTGAATATTTTTTCAAAATTTTTTACAAACTTTAGATTGATGCTTTTATTTGCAATGCCGACAACAAACTAACAAAAAAATTATTCCACCAAATGAAAGCAGCATAAATCGTTGTGTGATGTTGGAACCGCGAGGAACCCCCTATTTATTTTTATACCCTGAACAGGGTATATTAAGTTTGTTACGAAGTTTGTAACACCCAGAAGGAAGAGTCGGAGACCCTATAAAGTATATGTATATATAAATGTCGAGCTGAGTCGATTTAGCCATGTCCGTCTGTCTGTTCGTCTGTCTGTATATATACGAAATAGTCCCTCAGTTTTTAAGATATCGTTTTGAAATTTTGCAAACGTCATTTTCTCTTCAAGAGGCTGCTCATTTGTCGGAACTGCCGATATCGGACCACTATAACAYATAGCTGCCATACAAACTGAACGATCRGAATCAAGTTCTTGTGTGGAAAACTTTCCCATTTGACAAGATATATTCACGAAATTTGGTATAGATTATTTTTTTATGCAACAATGTAATCTCTGAAGAAATTGTTCAGATCGGATTACTATAACATATAGCTGCCATACAAACTGAACGATCGGAATCAAGTTCTTATATGGAAAACTTTCACATTTGACAAGATATATTCACGAAATTTGGTATAGATAATTTCCTGAGCTAACAATGTAATCTCCGAAGAAATTGTTTAGATCGGTCAACTATAGCATATAGCTGCCATACAAACTGAACAATTGGAATCAAGTTCATGTATGCAAACTTTCACATTTGACGTGGTATCTTCTCAAAATTTGACATSKATTACTGCTTAAGGTAATAATATAATCTCCGAAAAAAATTTTCAGATCGGATTACTATGGCATATAGCTTCCATACAAACTGAACACATAACTACTAACAGAAATACACCTCTGAAGAGTATTTAGCTTCGGTGCAACTGAAGTTAACGTTTTTTCCTGTTTAATTTACATATTCGCTTGTCACTTTGCAAACACATGTTCGAGTGTAGGGTGGCAGTACTAAAAAAAAAGATAGATACCAAAGAATGAACAAAATGCAGGGAATTTTATTTGGGTAAAAATMGCGTTGTAAGAGTAGCGTTGTAAGAAAATGTCCGCATTTTGGGAACCGCGTTGCAGCAAACCTCGTTGTAGGAGGTTTACCTGTATTCATTTATTTGTATAAAATTTACATATACATTTTCTATCTATGTACATATATGTAAGACCGACAGACGAACGCAAGACAACTAGAAGTGGACGTAACTTTTAACAACTATTAAATGCGACCTTGCAAACTTGACGAACAGAATGACAAACAGACGAAGATGAGAAAAGAAACGGACGGTAATGCGTACTTCGAAAGAGGCAGTCATTTTATGGTCATCAAACCTAAAATACTATCTAACATACTTTATGGTAAATCTAATCTTAAATAAACCTAATTAAATAATTTAAAAATAAACCGACTTTGATCTAATTCAAACCTACATATATTTATAATATTTAAGTTTATATACGAGTATATGGCTCACATAAATATATATTCTAGATATTGCATTACTAAACATATGTATATGGATACAAATATAAGATATTTTGGAACCAATGGGTTATTGGAACTAAATTTGGGAGCGAATTTAAGCTCTAAAAACTTTAAAAACTCTCGAAAATTTGGAGGAAAATCTAAAAACTGGTGAGCATATGCAGATGATGGCACCTTAGCCATTAAGCATAACGCATTCTTAACCCCTCCGATAATATGTATAATGTAAATTACATGTCGTGAAAAAAAGATTCTGGAAAATAGTTCAACCGCCATTGTCAACCAACAACAATAACTAAATAAATAACTAACCTTAATATAATAAAATCATAACAATCAGTTTTCTTCAGCGAAAGTACTGAAAAATAGAATTCACTTACCCGTTCGAAAAGACTACGGCAAATATTTACATAGAGGCTATACGTAAAGTGTATACGTAAATCCTTTAAACGCTCTTCAATGTCATCCACTTTATCAGTATTGTCAATGGACGCCGTAAAGAGAGAGACAAACCACAGGAGACTGTACTGATACATGGGATCAATGTTTGCCAATTCAACTGCAATGAAATGAGAAGTAAATTACAAATTAATTACAATATTCATACAAGACACACAAAGATAGTCACATTCTGGCCACTGTGCCATTGTACGGCGGTCAGTTATCTAGTAAAACAAAACTACTCGAAGCTCAAACAAATACTCGTATACACTTATATCATATATTCCTAAAGATTACTTCGCCAAATTAAAGCAMAAAGTAAACTACATCCATTAACTAATTAAATGCTTTCAAACTTTAGAAAACAGCTTGCGGGTCATTAATTTAATTTTCAACAAACACTGATGCACATGCTCAGGACACATTGAAAATTCTTGAGAAAATCAGAGTTTTATCCTTTGTTGACCACAGGAAATGTAGGCATGTACTCCATTTCCYCCTCTGAATCGAACCACTGTGTTAGAGTATGGTATGAGGTCCAAAACATTGTGGAGGTGTTCACGAAGATGTCCTATTCTACTTCTATATTGCATAATAGTACAAGAAAAACGGGAGCTCCAGCTTTTATCTCATAATTCAACAATTGAGCAGAGTCTAGTARACAAACGAAACATTTTAGACCTATGGTTGTCAATGATGTACTACTTTTTACGGAGTTGGTCTTTTTGATACCACTCGTTATATACGTTCCATATATTCTTGTAAACCAAATGTCTAAAACAACCTTTACAAATAATTCCGGAAACATGGAGTAAAACCAAACCATATTATACCGGGAAATACATGACTACTCACCTATGGTAAAGAAGAGTATGGTAGAATGTGCTGCAATAGGTACATAACTCAGTCGCGCTATGTCGATCTGCCGTTCCGTGGCTTCAGTGACAATTTGCTTTTCATTAATATCGTTGGCTAATGCTTTTGATGAACTCAATATCTGCACAGCGGTTTCGTCCTCCAATATGTTTTCTGCGGACGAAAGTACTTCCAGAATTTTATCTTCTGTTTCCTTCAGCATACGCTTATTCTCAGCTCCTTGCACGATAAGCGTATTCTTCTCCGCTTCCAAATCGGGTCGYTCGCGTGCAACAGTTATGCCCAACAGCTGATCTTGCAAGCCTTGCGTGGTGATCATGAAATTCAAAACCGTCACTTTAACTGCGACCTCTGGTAGGTAGTGTGGATTACGCAACTTTGTTGAAATATAAAATCTAYGAAAATTGCGAATTTAAAATAGAGAACAAGGTAAATAGTTGAGATATAAGCCTAAATGCATAAAACTTCAGTGTGGATATTACGCACTTAAAGGCATGGTTGTATTCAATCACGGAATCGCCCAATTTTATGCACAGTGTGCCGCCTTGCTTGAAGAGTTGTTTAAGCAGTATCGCCTCCAGCAATGGATCCAATTCTTCACCTACATTTTCCAAAAGGACTGGAAGACCAAAYTGTATCGCGTTTTCAAGCACCCGCGTGTAGTCAGGCTGGTTTAGTCGTATTACACAGAGACGATTACCTTTCTCCAAGTTTTTCACCCATTTGTTGGCTTGACCCTGAGGATCGATCATTAATGGCCAGCGTCGAGAATTCCTGAAAAAAAAATCGATAATTATATGACCTGCTCAGAAATTCCAGAAATGTTAACTAGCTCAGTTAATTTAATTTTTCCTATCGTTACTGCATATTAAGGTGCAGGATCAGAGCTACTACGGTTATTATGAAACCAAAACAGTACTTTCCCGTTGAATATGCTGGGGTGGGTTCACTGTGATCTTAATTAGGCAACAATGTTTTATCAAAGCATGAAATTCACTTTTTTCATTATATTACGATRTTTGGTCAGCAGTAACCTAAGAACCATTAGATGAAATGTTAMTTTGACAATATTCAGACAAATTTGTGGTTGCGATTTCTCGGTCGGTCTAAAGGATCTTTCGCATGTAGTATTCGAGTCATGGCAGTTACAGTCGCAGGGCTATACCCAATTCCTATTCTACGTGAGTAACCCTACGCGAACGATATGAGGAGATGAGAACGGAAGAAATACAGAGTCCAGAAAACCATGAGTGGGAGAATATAGAGACAGGTGAGGAAAGGAATCTAACTGAGGGTTTTGAATTGAAACCATCGGATTATAGACACAGCGCGTCAGGAAAATAATGGATCCTACATTTTTTTAACTTGCTCTCTTGTGACTACAATAATTAAACATATATTACGTCTGTGCAGAAGTAAAACCAGAGTTCAGAATCGAAACGATGGCATTAATGTACCGATACCTAGGCATGAACAAGCTCGAACCATGATCTTCTTGCGGTATTGTTCAAGCCTACATTGATTAGTTGATAGGGAATATGCATCAACTCACCTCCAAACAAATACTAGACGAAAGCCAACGATTGCAACATCACTGCACTGTGTCCTGATGTTACGTGAGCCAACTACCGAGAGATCCACCTTGTGCACATCGCGCAGTTGAATGTCACTTCCCGACAAACTGATTGGATCCTATCAGTACAGCTTTAGACCCGGTCATTCCCTAACGGAACAAGTACACACAGCACCAAATCCTGGAAAACTCCGRGAATATGAAATGGACACCTTCCAGCTATTCGTTGATTACAAGGTATTATGTGATGCCGCATTTGCTCAAGTTGATATACCGGCAAAATTAATAGGCGTTTCCGGAACGAAGTTAAGCAACACCCGCGATGCCATCAAGGCATCACCATCACCAGGCGAGGTTTCAGGTAATGTGTTACCATATATTGTGACCTGAGTTCCGATATGAAGGTTATTGTGCGCAGAGCAAGTGTTTATAAGACGGTCAATATAAAGAGGACAGAATATGACTACGAGCAGGAACGTGAAGGAGAATAAACTAGTGAGCAGAATAATGTCGCGCTCTAGCGAGAAAGGTGAGACTGGAGAAAACGCTGGCTTGTAAAAGGCGCCTGGTAGGCACTATTAGGTCAGGCCGAGACGCAAGAAGGTATCTAAAGTTTTGTTTGAATACCTTCAATTTGTATAGTTTTTGAAAACGCCAACTCAACACTGTATAGATGTTTTGCTAGAAAGAAAACTCAACCGATGAATTTCCGTAATATCTCCTTCCTTCATTATGGTGACTTCTTTGGTTGGGGATTTTTTCAATACCTTTTTGGAAATTTCGTGCCGAAGCACAAATAGGAATACATAACAATTACTAATGAGAATATGCACGAATGTCTGTATGTAAGCTGCAATGCTTGAAGATTTCGTAGTTACACAGTTATTTCAGTAATTGCAAAACATCGTCATATGGCCTCTTTCTCCTGCCTTGCGTTTTCTAATTACAAAACACACAATACAAAAGTTCACGCATATTAGGATACATCAACCGTGCGCTCGACGGCTGCGGCTCTAAATGGAAGCGGCAGCGTGGTTACTTGGTGGGGGTTGCTGACGCACCGGTATTACAACAAAGTCGATATTAATACATAAATGTGTGTAGCTACGATGAGGAMTGTATGTTCGTGTGTTCAGCATTCGGAGGATGCTGCTTGCGTAGAACAAACAGGCACATKGCCTGTGGCACAATTCGCATGTTTCCTTCCGTGCCACGCATCTGCTGGATATACCGTTTTTTCCCCTATAATTCGTGAAGTAAGGTGGCGATTGTCGAGACAGCACGGTTCAGCAGGCCCAGCGATTCTGTGCGGTTACAGCGGCTGTAGGTAAGGCTAAACACTTCTGCCAGATATTACCACTCGAATTTGTACATTCATTCACTTACTTCGGTGTGGCATACTTATATGAAACCAAGGTTCTGCAGTAGCACATTTATTGTGCTCTTGTGTAGCAGCAAAAACGAATTGATTAATGCGTCTCGCTAGATTAAAGCGGTTTTATTAAGCACACGCATTACTTTTCTCATTCGAATTTGGAATTTGGAAAGGAAGGAAAATTTCATTAAAACACACGTATTTGGCCATAAGATTTTCAATAAAATTCCTCATTTTTCATGCAAAAGTACATATACATATGAGTGTATAATTGAGGGTATGTATGTATGTAAATTGTACACTACATAGAAACAAATATCCTTGTACACTGTAAAAAAAGAGGAGGAGGAGAGAAAGGAAAACTTCATATTTTGAGAAAACATTATTTCCTTCTGTTCGCTTAGGGGAAAATACACCGTTAATGCAAACCAAATGRCTGCATAACTGTTACCTCAAGTCTGTCCCGGCAAAAACGCCCAGGTACTGGTTTGCTAAATTATGCAGTGATCGGAGCAGTAAAAAAACATCCAGCTTGCTCAGGAAGGTCGCGAGGGACGCCAGAAGAACTTAATTGAGTGAGTTTGTTAACATCATTGGACTCTCAAAACATAGTAAATCACGATTTTTTACAAGTCAATAAGTTTTCAAGACAATGGATACCTCAATATCACGAATACAAACGATACAATAACAATCTGACACTGATCAAATGAGACATGGAGTAAACATCTAGATCCAATCGAAAGCCCACTAGTTGTTGCCCGGTGAAAGTTATTGCTGATTTCTTGAAAGACAACCGACAAACAGATAGTTGTGTATCACCGAGAAATTTCAATTCTGCGTTATTCTAGTCGTATGGTTCCGATTTATCTAGTCGTTTCAAAAAAACACATAACAATTTGCTTGGAAGTGCTTCGGCTTATCATGAAACAGCCTTGCAGTCAACTGATATTTACTATCGAGTGCATACGCTAAAATCCACGTTTCATCATCTGTTCTTCATAGACGTGTTTCGAAACACAACTATCGTATTTTTTTTTTTTTTTCTATCGACCAAACGATGCGAGCCTTTTATTGAGTTACGGATAAACTGATCCAACGTAAACAATTTTTTTTTAACCGACAAATATTCATGCAATATTTCASCCTGATTTAGTCATTGTCATGGATTGTGAAGCCAAAAAGCCATCTAGACAATAAAAATTATAAGAAACTAGTAAGAAATGAATCATTTTTCAAGAAGTATTGGCGAGTTTATGGAGGGTTTGGATCGAATATTCAATATGCTATTCCCACTAAAACCTGTAGTTGCCTCTATGCAAAGTATCAATAATTTCCGGAAYCACAACTGATTTTGAACGACYTTTACAAAATCCATCTTRGAGTGATCTACRACCTCGATTGAATACATCATACGTCGATAAAYATCKGCCCTTGATKGAGCTTCATMGAYAAAATTKAATTAAGCTCATCAATGCACTGTGGCGAAGTTATTCTACATTGAAAGTTATAAGAACTAATCGCTCGAAAAAGTTCTGTAGCTGAATTTCAACTATCGGCAAAACTGCCCCGAATCTATAACAAAATTTGATTAGGTGTTATATTTATATTTCCTCTAATTCACCTGGATGTCTAAAAGTATGAGAACGGAGGTCTTTCTGCCTCATTCTGRAAAAAGTAGGATATTAAAAGACTGTGTCCAGTTTGAAATCCTACAGCAATTGAAGGATGGACCCTGTTGAGAGTTTCCTAGACCTCTAACGATATACCCTACTGCAGAAGGACTTGCGACAGCACAGCTGCTGGTAGGCAATCAGGTCACGCTGATTTAGTCATTGTCTTGGATTGTGAAGCCAAAAAGCCACGGAGACCAATACAATAAAAATCATAAGAAACTAGCTTGGAACTATTGTAAAAACCATTTTGTAAGTGAATCATTTTTCAAGAAGTATTGGCGAGTTTATGGAGGGTTTGGATCGAATAAAAGATGTTTTTTTT